AGCGGGGAGCCCCGGGGGCGCGGGCCCGCCGCGGCCAGGATGCTACAGTCTCTTCCCAGCTCGTTACAGACATAGTCCGCGAAGCCGTATCTCATGACGTGATCATTATCCGACAGATTCACAGTTAGCTTACGGATGGGTTTCACATGCCGACCTCTGTAGCCTTTAGGCCTCAGGATGATTTATATCCAGCTAATCTCTTAACTGCCTAGGCTCCCGGGCGTCCGCGCAGGGTTCTCCCCTGCCGGTACCGGCAGTGCAAACATTGGTTGCAACGATAAAAATCACATACGCGTACACATTTTACAGTCGGGATCATCTGGTTGCAAAACACCGAGCCACAGAAATATATCCCCTTCACAGCTGGTGTCGGGTTGGGTGACGTGGGTTTGCTGCAGCCCGCAGAAGACAGGGCACCGTCTCGGGGCGCACCCCCCGGGCAGGTGATGGCACCAGCTTGTGGGCAGGTAAGCAGAACGCAACAGGAAGGGCAAAAGTCTCACTGAAAGTCTTACCCCCTGTCTTGTTTCATGCACCTGTGTTAAATCTGTAACCATGCTGCTATCGTCAGGTAACGATACAGATTTGTAGCATAACTCTTCCTAGCGTTACTCCTCTCTAACTGAGAGACTGGGGGGAGACATTTTGTTGTTAAGTCTTCCTGGTAACTCTGCTCCCTGCAGATAAGCTGATGTCAGTCTGTGTACAAGCCAAATTCTACCGGTGCTTATGAAAAAAATGTTGACAAAAACAAATTCTATAGGCCATGGCATAGTTATGTCATATAGACACACCGTATTTTCCATGCCTACAGACCGCCCGGACTTCCTGTTAGAAAGGTTTGATTTTTTCTGCCCTGTGTATACAAAACTTCAATTCCTCCTCCTTTTCCCTCCACCCACAAACCAAACCACACCGTTTCTTTGTCTCAGACTTTTAACGGTTTCCTAATGTCAGCCTCTGCTTACATGCACCAGCGTTTCCTCACGCTGGGGTACTCTGCCTGTTCTGCCTTCAGGAAGAGATGAAACAGTCCATCTCACTGAGCCCGAGGGAGCTTCTCCGGGCCCTGCGGGCACCTTTCCCCCTCCCTAGGGTTTAGCTGCCTTATGCGAGGCCAGCTCTGCTACGGTGCGGTCGCGTAGCCGTGGATCCAACTGCAGTGAGAGAAGCTGTGCGCGAAAGAGCTGCGAGAGGCCGCCTTGGTGGCCCCTTGCCCCTTAACCCGGGAGCTGCATTCGGAGTCGGGCCCCGTGCCTGAGCGACGCCGCAGGTACGCCCGTCCTGGCCGTGTCCCTTGCTGATCCTGACCCGCTGACTTGACTTGCCGGCTTGACCGCACGCCTACCTCGTCACTACGGGCTTGGCTGGAGAGCTACCCTCTTGGCCGACCCCGGCTGTTGTCGCCAGACCCACTTTGGGCACTGTGGGACTGTGCCCTTGCCGGCGAGGTCGCTGCCCCTGCCTGCCTCGCGGTGACCTTCGGCTCCTGGCTCAGCTTCCCTCGCAGAGCAGCCTGCCCTTGCTGCTCCGGGACAGCTTCAGCGTGCTCGGCTGTAAGCCTGTAGTTGCATGTTTTTTCTGATAAATGACATATTTGTTTTCAAAACAGTAAAAGCAGAATTTTCTTTTGCAGTTTGGAGGTGTGCATTCAGCAAGATATGCAGATATAAGCCACACTTCTAAAGCTTTTTCTTCTAATTTGTATTACATCTTCACAGATCTGATCAAGAAAGGGTGCCAAAATGACTAATGTTAGCTTGAGGAGAGGGTCTGTGTTATTTATGCTTTTTTTTCTATGGTACAAGATTATGAATGACTTTCCACAGTTTTCCACAGTAACTTACCATGTTGGAGAAGATGAGATGAATGCAGAAGGTGATAGGCATGCATGATATCATTGCTATCAGTTTAAAGTAATGTATTTGCAAAAAAAAAAAATTAACCACCTATAGCCAATAGAAGGCCAACAACGCCTCCTGTCATGCCTGTTTCAAAGCACATTTAAAGATTACACCTTGAATATGATGAAGGATAGCTAAAAAATAAATTATGGCAGACAGTTCCTGGAATTTCATTTATTTCCTAGAATAATAAAACTGAGGTTAAAGACACACTACAGTCATAGTAATTCAATAATTATCTGAACTGAAATGTAGGGTCTAGGTATCTGATCTAAAGCAATGTATTTATCTCTTAGCATATATCTGGAGCCAGATGCTAATTTAAACTTGCATCAAGTTCAGATCTCTTCTTACAGAATAGTTTCATGACTGACTAATTCTTTGTAGTTCAAGATTTACTACTACTTCTTATGAACTAGTAAAATTTCTTTTATAATTGGTGTCAACACCATCATTCTTTTCTTAAGCTGTATGAGTCTTCTAATCTACCTTTCCTGTCACTGGGTATGTTGCAAGTGAATAAACCTGTGGGTACAGTTGTTTTCAAATAGCAATCCTTTTTACTGGGACTGACAAAGCCTAGTGGGATCAGCTTTTTATTCAGTGTATCTCTGATGTAAACTCTTATTAGTTTTAGTAGCGACTGCTTAATATGCAGTGCCAGTCTTTTGGCACATCAGTGCAGTTCCACAAGCACATGAGATTACAGAATCTCTTTTTAAGAGTTCTTCTATTACCGCAGTTTATTAGCCAATACATCTTACTTTACCTGCAGTCCTACTTTGCAGAAACTGATAGCTATAATTAAATCTCCATAGCTGAACTCATAGCATTTTGATGAAGTTTGGATAAAACTTCAACCTTGTCTCAAGTAGCGACCCACAGACTCCAAGCTTTGGCTCCCATGGAACCTCTTATATTTGGCAGAGAAATATATACCCTATTTGAACAAATATTATTGAATATAATAAATCATGAGATATGATTTTGAATACACTCAGGGAGATGCCATGATGTTAAACTTATTATTATTTATTATTTTAATAAGTTAAATACTGATTTTATAAAAAATTACTATTCTCTTTTCACAAGAAAGGATCTTTCTATACTGCTATTGGCATACTGTAATTGCTTCATTTGGATTTCTGGGAAAGATTGCAATAATAACATTAAAGTAGTTGATACATCTTGTTCTAGATCTCTTAGGTAATTACAGCGCTCTAACCAAATTATGTTCCAGACACATGATTGCCACTATTTCCAGCCCAGGTTGTAAGCATGCAGGTCATTCTGCTTTCACGGTTGTAAAACGTAGTTTGCCCAGTGACTTCTTTTTTAATAGGGACTTTAATGGAGACTGTTTTTGGTATATTTGCACTGCTACAGCAAAATGAATACTGCACCTTAGTAATCTTAGACCTGGAAACTTAAAGAGAGGAGAGGTCCATTTACTAAAGATGCTATTACTGAAGAAACTCAGAATAACCTTGTAGCAAGACTCAGATGCTGCTAGCAGAGGACAAACGATACTTCCTGTTCCTCTGTTAAAATCCATTCATCATTTGAGTCCATTTTGACAAAAGAGGAGTTTGAATTTAGGTCTCTCTCACTATTTCTCCCTTGTGTAAAAGTGGGTAGGAGCTCCTAATCCAGTAGTATTTTGAAAGAAAAATGCTGCTGTTTACTGTCCTTATGACTCTCCTTTAGTTCTAGCTTTAAGTCACTGTATCAAATTTAGGATGGATTTGTCTCAACAGACCCAACAGATTCTTTGCTTTCATTTAGTAATTGATTCCCAAGCAATTGTAGCTGTGACATTTTTTCTAAGCCTCCCACAAAGACAGAGACTCTGTCATATTAAGTTAAGGTAATAGCTCTTAAGATGAATGCTGAAAAGGGCCAGATTCTTAAAGCTGTTTAAGAGTGAATCTACTGGAGATTTCAAGAAGATTAAATTAACTATAGGTCTAACTAAATGAATTCCAGGCCTCAGCTGAATTCCGTAGGAACTAGACTTCCAAGTCACTAGCATACTCACTGGGGTTTTCAGAAGCAGCCAACGGCATCTTTAGGCATCTAAACCCTTTGAAAGGATAGCTTTAGCTAGTATCTTCAGGGAAAACAAAGTCATATGCTGTAATATCTCTTCTGCAAAACAAGATGTTGAGATTACTTTACTGAAAAAAATATTGATTTTATTTTGTTGCCAAGTACACAAATAGCAAAGGTCAGAAATAGCGTTCGGGTACAAAGAGTGTGAGGTCACTTAAGCCAAATAAAGTTTGTTTTTTACTGAGAACCTCGTGAGTATAGAATTACTTTAAGAATTGACTGAAAATCTCACACATGGTATTGCAGTCAAAGCGATCACACTAATATTTATAATATTCCGACCACACCGGAATGTTTTCCTTTTATGTGTTTGTGTGTCAGTGTTCACAAAAAAATGAAACTGTACCAGACGGTAGATCTTTAACTGCTGTTTTGATACATCAGAAACCGACACTGGGGAAGAAAGTTTATTAGATGACTAACAGAAGTTATTCCTAATTCCATTCCCCCCAAAATGCCCCGGAATCCAAATTAGGAACACACTTGGCAGCTGGGAGATGACTTCTATTTTCTGATAATCTCAGTTTGACCTACTAAACCCAAAAGAACCCATTATGAGATAACACATGCTCTGAAGAACCTGAAGATGTAAATGAAACTATCAAAGCCTGTTTTTTTAAATTTGGCCCAGGAAATTCAAGTATTTTAGTAGCATCTGAGTTGCAGATCTGGCTGAGTCTTATCATATTAGTGGCATTGACAATGCTCATGTCTTGTAGCAATTCCAGTTACTAGAAAACTGTAAAATGCTTTTTGATCACAGTTTGTTTCCAGTATGCATAAGAGGAAGACCTGCTGCAGTGTTACAATTCCAACTATGTAATAGTAATGTATGAGCACCTAGGAATCTTGTATTTGGCAGGGGAGGGAGGGAAGACGGCTGACAGCACAAAAATTGTTGACCACGAGGAAGCAGATACTGCTTTCCAAACTAGAGAAATAAACGAGTGAGCTGTGTGCCTTCTTTCAGCTGGCTGAGCGCAGGTCCGCAAGCCAGAACTTTATGGAGCTTCCCAGCAGCCCCTACTTAAAATTACAGAGACATCCCTTTTTGTAACAGACTGAGTATTCCAGGAGTTCTCACCCTTCATCATCTGGAACCACAATTTCACTTTTTCTTATCCTTATTTGTGCTCCCTTTTTTCTGTCAGCTTGACTTTGCACCCTTTTTTTCCCCGTCTCCCAAACCTTCTTGATTTGCCTCTACCACAGCGGGATACTTAACAGTTCTGTACGCGAAACAGGCAAATGGCTCACAGGGGCCTCAGAAACACCTAGGCCAGCCTGGCAAGTTAGACGCATAGCTCTTACACTGTGATATGATGGGTACCTCTGATAGAACAGGCATGGAAATGAGGGTACACTCAATACTTTGCTGGAAAAGGTCACTGTTTGGATTGATGGGAAAGCGATGAGGCACTGAAATGTCATCGTAAATCCACCCCAAGATACCGGACTCAAGAGGGAAGCACAAAGTTAAAATTTGGAATCAGTAGCAGAGCATGAGGAACAAAAGAAATAGGACTGCCAGGAACAGTAAGACACTGATAAATACGGCATAATACCTCTGAGCAATTTAGCGGTCTTGGTGCCCTGCTAACCTGAGCCCATTAGGATTGGATTCTTTCTAATACACATTCTCATCAGTGTGGTACCTAAGAAGCGTAGCATCAGAAGGCAAATGAAATGATGGAAAATGTATGCAACAAATTTCAGTTTGCATCAGTCAGAGGCACTTCTTCTGCTTCCCCAGCATGGTGTAACAGGCATTCAGGAGGAAGAGCTTCTGCACACGTTCAGAATAAAGAGAATAATCCTGATTTCTGCTCCTGATTTCTGCTCCTAGCGGAGCAGTTGCTACATGTCATTTTAGCAGGCAGAGGATGGAGCTCTGCAAATGTAAATAGTGTGCACAATATTTCCTAGACACTGGAAGAACAGTTAGATGAGTTGCCTCATCCCTGTTAGGATACTGCTCGCTCATCAGAAATGATAATTACATTTCTCTTACCTGTTTTGGAAGGAGTTGGTTTCTTTCATCAGATATGTACCTCTGGGACCATACCTATCTTCTAGGGATCTTGCTACAGATGTTCACCTTCATTTTAGTTTGGGAACGTATTAACAGCCACTTCTACCTACTGTCACCTGCTGTGCATTTTCTCGTTTTTCCAGTATATAGTTAAGACTTAAAAATTACAAAACAAACACAAGAGACAACTCTGAGGAGCTAATTTAAATCAAATGCAATGAATGAGAACAACAAACAGTAATTAACAGGGGAAGAGGAGGAAGATGAGGATTATACTCCCATGTTAAGTATTTTTGGCTCACCAGGAACATATTTGGAGTACGCATTCTGTGGCACTTTACTCAAATTGTTAAGATCTCTCTTTTCCCTTATTTGTGTGCTCCTCTGAGGGAAAAGTGCCTTTGACTGAGATGGCTTTGTGGGAATATTAAATTAGTTTGAAGCATTTCAAGGAGGGAAGTGGAGACTGTGCCACACAGTGGAAGACAGTGCAGTGCAGTGGGAGGAAGGCTATGGAGCAGGTAGCCAGACTGGCATCATTAGCAATCCCCAGAGAAAGGCCCTGATGGGCAACCCTCGGTGGTAGGTACAGGAAATTCAGCAAAGAGGCTAGGAAGGCTACAGTCAAAGGATTTGAATGGGGAAAGAAATGAGCAAAAGCAATGGAGATGATTTTGCTGCATAGTTTTGGATGCCACAATTTCAGTCTCATGGACAGCAAAATGATAATAACAACTGAAAACAGAGAGAGTTTGGAATAGGAAAAAGATATCTTGCTTTTTGCCGGCTTGAACTGAACTAGTGACCAAGGTACCTGTAAAGTTATGTCAGAAAAAAATCCACATTCATGACTGGGAGAAAACAAAATAGCCAAAAGTAAAAAGGTATTGCAGAACCACGACTGCAAACACAGAAGAACAGAAGAGAAAGGGACAAAGGATGGGACTGGGAAAAATGGAACAAGGAAAAGGAACTGCTTAATGGGATGTTAAAACAGAAACTGCAGGGGAGGGAGCCATGAAAGCCAGGCAGGGGAAGGGAGGATTGAAATTTACTGTAGATCTAAGAGATATGGCAGAGCACTTACTACAAGACATTGTCAAAAAGACCTTGTCATTCTGCTGGTGTTCTGACCAGCAAGGTTCTTGTGTTCTGGTGATGTTTTCTGCCACCGTTTTCCCTTAGACACTGCATATTTGAAAGGTCATTTTAGTGCTACAGTCACCCATTATTGATGAATTCTGCTGTCTTTGTACACAGTGCCATATTCCACTGGTGTCTGCATCATGGGGCTTGCTTCACCGTGTCGCTGTTTCTTCTCTCTTTTTTTTTTAATTTTGGTTCTTCTTTGTCGTCTACCATTTTTTCTGTGAATCCTGAACCTCTTCTTCTTCATCCAATTCTTAACTTTTCTGATCTGTGGGCTTACACAGAACTTTCTGCCTTCTATGTAGAGACTGCCAGAAGGAGAAATAATTGTCAGTTTCAAAGAAAAAATGTAAACAAAATTCCGCTTTTTACGATTATCATATGTATCACTCACACATGTAGGCCACAAAGTTGGTTATATACTGTCCATTGGTTATATAGTGTCTATTAGCTTCTGTCCCATTTCAGATATTGTAAAAGAGGTTACGTCATTTTCCAAAATCAGAAAAAAAGCTTTTCTTCTTCACTGAGTCGGAAGACAATCACAGTGCAAAACAGTACATTTGTATTGGCAGTACATAAGTAGAGCATTTGATCGTGATCATCATATTAATGTCTAAGAATAAAAAATACCTACTAGGCCTTTGTTTAAAATTTATCAGTTTAACTCCAACAGTGTGATATTGTACCACCCCCCAAAAAAGCATTAATTAGAAATAATCGATGTACAAAAGTAAAGCTGATGTAATGGATTTAGGCAAGGTTTGTAGGGAGACTGGACCAACAGTTAGGAAAAAAAGAGAAGCCTTAAGGTGCATAAGTCCTTCTTCAGTGCCGAAAGAAAAGCAAGTTTCAAAGTTAGTGTAGGCTGAATAATGATCAATATTAATACTGAAAATTCAATTTTAATAGTCAGAAGTTTAAATAACACAGGAAAGGACAGTTTTTAATTTACACAGGATCTTATTTTTCACTGATTTTATGTTAGCATACTAAGATTTTACTTATTCAAATGGCACTTAATAGCTTATAATTGGAGAGTACCCCTTTTATAGAGAATCACCCAAAACATCTCTTACATAACAGCCTCTAAGTGACACAGGCCATCAGCTTTCTGGATGCCAAATCTCTCCACTCTTCGGAGAATTCCTTTGGGAATTTCTTCTGAAATTTTCATGCAACAGCTAAAGGCCCCAGGAAACAAAGCTAAAAAGAGGAATAACAACATTAGAAACAACAAAGATATGAAGGAGACAAGCCATAGCTTGACTTGTCAAAGGTTAGTTCATCTTTATGTCTTATTAGATGAGATAGCATCCTTTTGACTTCTCCCCTCAGACAGATATGTGTTTTTGTTATTTAAAGAACAGCTTCCCCATCTCTTCTTATGCACACATGTCTAAAGGCTTGGTACAGTAAAAAAAAAAAAGTTTTAAGTATTTTATTTATGGAAGGAGATCACCAACATTAATGACACATGAAGTGTTTAGGAGTGTAATTTAAAAACACTGTCTTGCAAGGGTGAATCAGCTCCATTATCTTTGCTTGTGCAATAATTAATTGCGGGGTGTGGGGTTTTTTTTAACTCCCAAGGTCTTGGAGGATCAGGACTGAATGTGTCGCTGCTAGGGAATGAACTCCTGCAGACCTTTACTTGCTTTATCACCTTGATAGAAAAGTCACTGACGCTTAAAATAGCACATCAAAACTCAAGAATTTTTCGTGACCAGTATTAAGATATTGGTGTTTGGTTGTCTTTTGCACTGGTACAAAACTATTCTATTCTAAATTATTCCCTCCATCAGCTCCAGGACAACCAGAGCTAGGTGGCTAAGGGATTTATTGAGGGTGTGAGGGCCTCAGGTTCAAAATCTTGCTTCAAAATGAGCACAGCAAGGACTCGTACATCCCCATCAATGAATGGGAGCAGTGGGAGGGTGCCTCCTTTCCCTGTTTTGAATAAATTTATTTTCCTGCCCTGTAAATCAGGCTATTCCTTAGGTAATCATTTAGTCTTGCAGTGCAAGAGTCATAGCAAAAGAAACAAAGAAGAAGAAAAACCCTGCTGAAAGAAAGGTGCCTGTAAACAGGAAGATGAGGAAGCCTCTTTAAAAAGTTTCTTGTAAGCAAGAAGATGTGTGCACTGTTTGCTGCAAGGATTCTTGCTGAGGACCGGAGAAATGGAAGACGTTAGCAAAGCTGCAGCAGTTAGCTATAGCAGCCAGCACTGTAGCAGGACTAGCCGAAGGCCACTCACGCTATCAGCTACAGCTTGCAGGAGGCCTTCATACCCGGCGGCAGAGACAATCGATTCCCTGGCACTTCACAATCGCAAACAAAAGAGGCTGAAAGAAACCCGTTGGCCTAGCAGCTGCCTCTTCAGCAAGCCAGAGAGGGGGACTATAAATAGTTGCATGTTGCAGAAGGATTAATTATTTTATGCTACCTGGATTATTTCCCTGTTGTCCTTTCCTTTTCTGTCTTCAGAAGCATAGTGTTGGTGAAGCCAATTAATCATGTTTGCAAATGGGAGTTCAGCTCACTGAGCATCAACAAGTAATTTTTTCTGAGGGCTCAAGACAGTATTAGTGACACTAAAATACGAACTTCTGCTGCTGTCAGTCAGCTTCTGGCAGAAGGATTATGCGGGATAAAAGCTCAAGGAAGAATAATTTTATCTTGAACTCTACGAGAGGTTGTCAGCTGTGCTTTTTGGAGAGATCCAGTCCTGGTCTTCTTTTGGCAAAACTTGGCAAGTCTGGCCAGCGCTGCCAGACTCCTGTGGAATAGCTGGATAGTCCAGAAGGTCTTACAGTGGGGCAGCAGTCTCCTAAACTTTCTCACCTATTTTCTCCACTGTCTGGCTATAATGTCTTGCCTTTATGCACTTTCTGTACTTAGAAACACCACTTGCTCTGTTCCCCAGATCTGCACCGTCTGTATTGCACTGTCCTTCATACAACTTACAACTGAAAATTAAGAAATAAATTCTGATGCAGTTTTACAGCTGTATAAAGAAAAACACACAAACTCATATAAAGAAAATAAAGCAAACTTCTTGATGCCCCTAGGGGGGCTTATGAATATCTCATTAGTCACTGACGTAGCAGATTCTCCTGCATGAGTAGCAATTTTAGACTGAATGCAATTACGTAATACTCAGTCCATCTCTGCACTGCAGCATTAAACCACTCACATCTAATTTGTACAACAATGCAAAAAGCCTTACGTCTAAATAGGAGAACACACAACAGACTGCATGTGAAGCTAGTGCACACACCGAAGGAAAGCAGGTTGAAGTTTTGCAGCAGAACGTGAATTAAATGGTGCTCATCTGTTGCAGGGACGAAAGCATCTCTTACAGACACCGAGAACCTCGCTACGGACTTTTTATTGGAGGTGTGTGTGTTTAGGGAGGCTGTCTTGCTTTCGTAGGGTTGCACGGATGTTTGCCTTGTGGAATTCTAATCTGCGCTCACTTCACTTTTTTCACCAAAAAAAACTATTACTTTTAAATACGATTTTTTGGTTCTCTGCATGAAAGTGCAGTTGCAAATATGGCAAATAGAAATTAATTATCTTTTAATCACAAATGAATACACAGTATCAGGGTCCTTCTGTCAGACAACATGAAAATGTCATCTGCAGACCTTCTATTGACAGAGACACTTGTGGTAACTTGTACCTTCTTAAATAGGAGTCAGTTTTAAAAGTGGGTTCCCCCCTTCCCCCCCCCCCGAATAGTAAGAACCCCCCCCTCCCCCCCCCCCCGAATAGTAAGAACTACAGGAAGTGAGTCAGGGGATTGCTGCATTTCCCCAGAGCCCCAGAAGAGAGGACACTGTTTGCCTAGAGCAGAGGCCCAGCACTTAGCCATAGCGGAGCTCTGCTGCCCAGTCCATCATTACCGTAACTACTTTCTGATCCCACAAGTGGGGTAGAACCAGGAAGTAATAAGCAAAGCAAGTGAATTCAGCCCAGCCCAACAGCAGAAATATATTTGGGCTTCAGCAATTAGACCAGGCTCATTAGTTAATAATCACTGGTCTAAACAATGGTTAAAAGAAAATAATTGTGGTTTTTCACAACAATGTTGGTCTGCCCTTTTGTGTGTCCTCGGAGAGATTTTTCGAGTGATGCCTATTTCATTTGTCTGTATGGCTGTCAATGACTCAATCCGAAATACATTCCCCCACTGCTTACCCAGGAAGTATTTAGACCTGTTGTCTGACACGGAGCCTTTTTAATCAACCAGCTCAAGAAGCAGCTGAAAGGATCAACAAGCTTAGTGATGAACCTTGAGACTGGTCCCCTCAGGGACTGTTGTGTCATTATTTTGGCAGGTTTTTATTATCTGTTCTTATCTTTTTTTCTTGGGAACTCTCACTAGTGAAACACCTCCTGCTTTTTAAAGTCTTTGTTTCATATGTTTTTCTTGCAGAAAAGTCCACTGAAACAAATTAGGCACGTACCGTAGCAGAGGGCAAGCAAGGATAACTCTGGAAAATACCTTCACTCGCCCACCTTCTCTCTCAAAGATGCCTAAAAATGACCCCCTTTTTGTATGCATGCTTTGCTGCTGAGGCTTATGGAATACATTAGTTCTAATTTTTTCACTGTACTGGATTTATTTAACATGTTATACATAGTTTTATTAATTTCAAAAGACACGGAGAGAAAGGAGAGCTTTCACAGCATAGAAAGTTTTGTCTTTCTAGTGAGAACGCATCATTTAGCACATTTGACTAAAAACCTGCTTGATTTTTCCTTGTCACACCTGGGATTAATAACATTAGGCTGTAGTGCTTCCTGATGGAATTCTTATACAGTTACAAAGCAGGCTTTGTACCACTCGGGGTGGAGGGGGAACTTGCATTGATTAACTGGCTTAATCTCTTGCTTGGTCAGGACGTGCTATGTACTAAAATGTTCTAGCCACTTCCATAGAAAAATTTCACCTCTTAATCTCTTAATCCTGTATTGTTCCTTTTCTTGGAAGGCAAATTACTGATCCTATCACCTACTCTTTACGTTAACTATTATAAGGTGGATCATTTAGTACTCATTTGCTCAGGAAGCTGCCAGAAAATGTTAATCTAAACAAACTTGAGGCTGTTTTAAGAGTTCAGTACCTCATAGCAGGTCTTTTCAGCTTAACCCAAAGCAAATCAATAACTATTTCATTATGAAGAAGGCTCTGATCTTGGTTGGCAGGTGAGCAAAGCAGGACCCTAGAATTCTTGGCAAATGTAGAATAATTGTACTCTGTAAAAACAAGGGGGTTGCTTACAAACAGGAGATGAGATGGGGAACTCAGATCTCTGTTGCAAGATGCTTTAATCCATTCCTAGGATTTTGACTGTGTAGTAATATACACATTTAAAGTAAAATTCTGAGTGAGAGGCAAAGAGATTTAGAAAGGATGCTAGGCTATGGAAGTAACAATAAATAAAGTGTAAATCATAATATATAATATTGTGGCCTGGAATAAATATAAGCGCAGTAATGCTTTTCCTGCTCTGCTATAAGGATTGCTGCTAATATGGACATTTTCAAGGCTGGAAGCCTAGTTGCAGATGGACAGATGGGTGCGTCATGTAGGTCATGAATTTAAAATGCATGATTGTTCATCAGATCAACATCAATTTGTTAGCATCAATCTGTTCCTACGCATGAGAACAACGCTTAAGACAAAATCAACATCTGTGTCAAAATCCTCCCCCAGCTCTGCGCAATATATGCAGGGCACAGTATTGCCAGGGACTTGTCTTCTGATCTCTGTATGCAGTTCTGTATCCTTTGTGAGGTGTTGGATGCACGGCCTCCACCTTGGAGCAGTAATTTTTAAAACTTCATATTTTTAGGTCTGGACTCCAGGGCTTATTGACTTTGTCTCCTTCAGGATGGTGAAGAGAACAGAACCTCTGTGTGGCCACAGCTGGAAACAGTTTGAGGCAGGAAATAAGAGTAAGACTATATATACTGAGAAGAGTTTAAGGACACAAAAGTGCAAATGGACTAAACCAGGAGAATCAATTGCACTTGAAGAAAGCAGTAACCAGTTCTCAGGATGCGATTGCGCTAGATGACACACAGGCAGAGCAGTACAGCTGGAACGCAGAGCATAAGGAAACACAGGCTGAAAACTGCCAAAACACTACGTGATGCTGATGTAGGCAAAGAAACGCTAGTATCTAGTGCTTTCCTGGAAGGTGAAATTTCTGCCATTCCTAACAAAAACAAACCATGTAATACTTCACCCAATACTATGTAAAATGAAAATGTCATGTGAACACATGCCTTTTTTTCTGTGAAGCAATTCAGTTTAATAAGAGGGAACCTACCTCCCACACTACACAGGCCACCCTCGCTCCAACCAGACCAGTATTAGTGGAATAACTTGATTGTGATAACTCCAGTTAACTGCTTCAGGGAAGGCAGGGATTTTCTTATTTACTTGTTATCCCAGCCCTGTAACATTTTACGCTTTCTTTTTTAAGCAAGAATATTAAATTTATCTCTTCATATCTTCAAGAGGAAATATATTCTGGAGCTTCCTCAAGAGAACCTCTGTGTTCCCAAAATGAAATTCAAATCAACCACCTTTAAAATAAGAATGCATTCTCTTGTCTAATCTGCTACACAGCCTTTCAGTCAACGCTGCCAGTTTTACTGCAGGTGTGAGAGTGTTTGGCACGCTGACGGTGCTGACAACAACGTGATGACAGACCACCACCAGGATTTTAAAAACAAAATTGAAAAAATTCCTTTTTATTATTTTAAGAATAAAAAATATTCTGCGCCACATTTATACCAAATAATTTTGATCTCTGCCATTTTTCTGGTCGTGTCTGGCAAGGCCACGCTCATGACCCTGCCTAGATGTAATTTTGGCCACCAGAGGGCTTTTCTGACTTTTGTTCCAATACCTACTGATATGCAGAGATCCACGAGGAAAGGAAACTTTTATGAAACTGTATTTACTGAGCCTTTTTGTATTTGTATACTTATACTGTGACACTGAAATGGAGGCACAACGGCCAGCCTAAAAAGCCTAATCCATTTGCTAGTTCGAACCGGGGAAGGGTGTGCCTGTATCCACACAACCTTAGGTAATTCTGCTTATTTTTATTGAGGGTTATTGTTAAATGTGGACTATCTTTTTATGAGGAAAATTAGGCGATGGAGATATTTCCGCTGTGCCAGAGACTTCATTATAAAAGACCATTTTCTAAGAAAACCTTTACTTTGACCTGTGTAAGCACATGCCATTCCTATCATACAAGACCTTGCTGGCTGGCCAGATAGTAAATCTAATAGACAAGAACTTGCAGAGCCTCCTCAGACCAGCAGGTGCAGTGGCCATTTTAACTGGATAAAGTTTTAAGGCAGATTTTGTCCATGTGTTGACTAAATCCTTAGGGAACTGAGCAGTAGTTTCTACTCTTAATGACATCAGTGGGACTTGAGAAAAGAGCATCTCAAAGGCTGAAACTCTCCAAAATTTGGAAAAGAGTTAGTTACCTTCTCTGAGAAAACAGTTTATTTTATAATATAAAATTACAAAGGAAAACTAAGAATTCAAGCAAAGTACTGGCTACTCAACTCTGTTTTGAAATGTTTCAATTAAAAGGCAAGAAGACAAAAAGCAAGTGTTAAGTTATTAGAGCTCTAGAATGAATCCTCAAGACATACTACATTGAATGCCAGGCAAAGCTGCAAGCAAAGCCTCTTTTCTGCATATAAGACACCAATTACATGAAGCGTGTCATAAAAAAAGTTGTTTGAAATCTTTGCCATCCAGAGCAATCTGATTTGAAGGGAAAAAGATCGAGGGCTTTTCTAAATATATTCCCACCCAAGAAGCTTGGAAAGGAGGAAACTGTAGTTGAGGAAGAGATCCCTTTGGCCAGTGAAATTTTGTCTGTGGACTCCCTTGAGAAATCAGTGGTTTAAAGGTCTTATGCCTTTGGCAGTTACAATGCCTCAGCTACCATGTTCTTGATAATATTCGCTATGATAAATAACCCACCTGGCATTTCCTTGTTTAAACCACTTTAGAGAAACACAAAGTCCCCTGATCTGTTATGGAAACGTTAAACAAATGCTAAGGTGAAACCCTAATCCACTAAAAGAAATGGCAACTGTTCTATTTAGTTGAACAGAGCCAGGCTTTCACTTCAAAAATTTTCCCAGGCTACAGCACAGACCTTAAAGCTATCATTTTTCATCCCTTACAGAAGTGTAAAGGCTTAAACGGACTCCGTTCTGAGCAGTCTGGCTTGTTTGTTTGCTTGTTTGTTTGTTTGTTGCTTTAAGAAATTAGATAAAGTAGAATTGTACTTACTCTCAGATGTCTGGCTGACTGCAACTGTAAGAATAGCAACAACAGTGACTAAGTTCGCATCCATTCCTCCTAAGTGCTGAAGGTGTACTGTTAACAGAGCAGGTGGTAAATTACAGGAAATAAAGTATGACCCTACCTCCCTGGCTACTGTGGAAGAAAATTATTTAAAGCCCCACCCTTACCGGCAGCTAGACGAAGGCTCAATTCTGTGCCGCGCTTCAGACGTT